AGTGCTACCACCAGAGAGAAAATTGGAATAGTAATATCACCACAAAACTATGTTGACATTTTGCACAGCACAGGGAATGTGAAAAGGAATTTGAAAGATAAGCTGTTTAGACTTGGCAGATCTCTACATGTCCCTATTTGGTGGGATGTGAAACACATAAAAACTGTTAAAGCTGTGATGATAAAGATTTATCTCTCATCAAAGCAGGAAAAAACTCAGAAAACTGAGGATTTCACTCTGCTTAGTTCATTCCAAATACGCTTTCCTACTGTAGATTTGTCACAGATAACAAATTGGCATTATAGTGCGCTCTCTCTCTCTCACACACACACACACACACACACACAGCAGTTGGCATCCTTTGGTTAAGAAGAAAAGCACTCTCTAAACAGAATTAGCCAGCCTTCCCCTTCCTGCATCCCCACATAGAACCAGCTTTAATGTCGAGAACTCCCTTGTAGACCAGAGAAAGAGCGGAAATAGGCTTCATTTCAAATTGAAGTCGTTGACCTCCATCATTCCCCTTCCTTCTTTGGCACTAGTGCTCTATATCGTAAATCTTTGGGAATTTTTAGAACTTAACATACTTTATCGGATTAATGCTGATGGTTTGACTCTCTGAAAATCTTAAATTGGGACATGAAAGAAAACGTGAATAATACTAATTGCTTTATCATACCCTGGGAAGTATAGAGAGACTCGTACAGAATATAAAAGTTGTTTGCTTTAGGGATTATTTTGTTGTACCTTTCTCATTCCTTTACAATTGTATTATTTTTGGTGTTTAAAGTAGATCCCTGCTATTGAAGTGGTGTGTGCACATATGTGTCTGACAGACTTCACTGAGAAACCAATGTATTTTTTCTGTTTCAAATACAACTAATTCAGTCCAGCTTCCGTGTGGAGGTCACTTATTCCACTCTCATGGTAAATTATTGGCTGTATGGCCGTCCATGGTCTACTTCTATAAGAGAGACTGAGACCCACAACTCTGTGACCTTTGGGATGTTCGGCCACATTCCCCATGACCGACTTTTGTCTACCATGACAATTTGGGTTAAGCAATTGCCTTATGGAAAGAAAGCACAGACATTGCTGTGGGGACTTGGAGCTAATTGACTTGACTCCAATGAGGGGAAAGGCGGAAAGAAAGAGTGTGAGTACTTCACAAAATGTACAAGTTCTTCCCATTCTAGAATCTGAAACAGATGAGATGGGAACTAGTTGATGGGGCCCAATATATTTCAGATGTTGGGAAAAACGAGCAGCCTCCTTAATTCCCTCAGATGTGTAGCCAGTAGGGAGCTGTGTGCGTCTGTGAGACTATATATATCTTTTGATATTGCTGAGAGGTCCAGGTGCAAAATGTAATTCCTCAGGAAGTCAAGACATTTATGACATAGCTTTTAACATATAGGTCACTAAAGGAATTGTGAATCTGAATAACTCATATAGTTTATTTGCCCTTTCAAACAGAGTAATTTACAATGGGCAATTGAGACTTGCATTACTCAAGGCTTTTATTTTAATTAGCTATTTCAAAATCATGCATTACACATGATTCAAAAGGGATGCTCAGAGAATATCATTGGTGTTCTTTTTAGCAGTGCTTCCTTGAATCACAACTAAAATACCTCTGTATGCCAGGGTGCTAGCCAGCATGGGCCATTATGTGAGTGATTGTAAAGGACCAGACGAGTGATATTTCAAAGTAGATTTTATTTAGCAAGGCAAATGTGCAGCTTATGATTTTTGTTTGTTATTCTAAAAATTAGTTGTTTTTATTTTTTATTTTTACAGAACCATTTACATAAAATGCTAGGCCACCCAGAATATGAAACAAACATCATGGTCTAAAAAAATGCCCTTTGGCCCTAGCTGGTTTGCTTAGAGCGTCGGCCCATGGACTGAAGGGTCCTGGGTTCGATACTGGTTAAGGGCACGTACTTCAGCTGTAAGCTTGATCTGGGTGCATGTGGGAGGCAACCAATTGGTGTGTCTCTCACATCAGTGTCCCTCTTTCTCTCTCTCTCTCTCTCTTTCTCTCCCCCTTCCACTCTCTTTGAAAAGCAATGGAAAAAATATTCTCGGATAAGAATTAAAATTAAAAAAATAATTTAAAAATGCACTTTGTTCTGAAAAGTTGACCATACTTTTTCTTGGAATTATCAGTTCTTTGGAATTGCCTTCTAGGGCCAGAATTGGTAGTAAAATTTCCCAAATGTATAAAGCAGATAAGGAACCGTGAATGTCTTTGGTCTGAGAATTGAAAACCCAGTTTTGCCTGATGTGAGCTGGTGGGGGCAGGGTAAGGGTCCTTTATTTCTATAATAGAGCTTTTATAAAAGAGGCTTTATTCCTTTATTTTTTATTTTAGATTTTCTCCAATGTTTGCCATGACCTGAACTGCTACCCAAGGCAAAACTGATTATTTGTTACCCACACGCGGGGTGTATTTCTGTAGCAAAGGCTCACAAAGCAACTTGACCCCAACATCCACAATTGTGCCCCTGTAACCTCTTATCTGGGGTCCCCTGCCATTAAGGCATTTACTGATAGCTTAAGGGAACGGTTCCAGGAAATTCATTTTTATAACTTCCCTCAAATTAAATTAAGATAAGCCTCTGAGATTTTATCAACATTTCAGAAGAAAAAAAACCAGCATCTTTAGATAGCCGTTTTCAGCTTAAGTTATTGGATTCCCTGATTGGAAGCTTTGAAGAAACTGTTACTGAACTTTAAGTAGAAAAGCCCGCCCTGCTTCCGGCTGCTGTTGGGTGCTGCCAGCTAGGCCTGCGTGGAAGGTAGACATTTCCCACGTGGACTATACAAATAAATGGGCCTTCGCCCAGCTGGTTTTTCCTTCTGTAGGAGTGGAGTGGAGTTGAGCAGAGTTTAAAGAGCAGAGGTGTGTTTCTTAACCTGGCTTAGAAGCAGGAAAGTAGTGGGGAATGGGGTGGCAACAGAGAGGAGGCCAGTCCCTAGCCCGTGACTTGGAGCTGCCTCCCCTGTTGGGCTTTCCTGGTCTGGGGGCTCACCTAGCAGCGTGGGGCAGCTCCTGGGACCCATGCACCCCTGAGAGCCTCCACTCTTCTCTGTCTGGTCTGGTGATCTGGATTGGTCTCACAGTCATTGCTGAGTTCCCTTTTGGAGTCCTTCCCGACAGTGCCCTTATGCAGTAATACGCTGTGAGTTGACATGTCAGTGTCATTGGGTTGTTGTCTGGGTTGTTATTTAAAGTTGATTCAATGGACACCACCACCAACAACAAAACAACAGTAATCAGGAACCTACTACTCTATTCTGAGATGCCCATTCATTACCGTTTTAACAGCTCTGAAAATGGGGTAGATCTAACAATTGAGGTTGAATCAGTGCTGTTCTTCATTTCTTAATGTCAGTTTTACAACCCATGTAGTCTCAGATGAAATAACAGTCTGTATCAGGCTGGCGGGGAGGGTCTGGTCCTGCCCCCAAAGTGATCACGGGGTGCTGGGGAGACATAAACGTAAACGCTATAAGAAACACGGTAAATGTTGCAATAGAGGCATATAGTCAACATTTGTGGGAACCCAGGTAGGGAACATCAGCGCTCACCTGGGGATTGGACAAGAGATGGTGACGTTGAGGAAGGCACAGCTCTTGAATCTCTTGGTCCCAGTATTTGTGCATTTTGGATGAACCTTCTGGAGCACAGGTTTAAAATTTCGGCCTCGTGTTTTTGGTCATCAAAACCCAGAATGTGAAGCAAACTGTGAACATGGATTGATTAAAAATGTTAAGAGGTTATGAGAGTGCATGCTGAAAATTTGCCCAAAATGTGAGCCAGGGAAAGAAACAGAACCATAATCTTAGGAGTCTGGATTATTGTCAATTATCCCCATTTCCAAAATATAAAATTAAGAACAGCTTACTGTCTTGGAGGGACTTGTTCAGGCTTCACTTATAAATATCTTCAGATGTAGTTGTGTTATGCAGAAGATCTCCATGGCAAGGGACCCAAGATGAGTATATTGTTGAAAAAAATAGACTTCACATGATCACAGCACAATTAACAGTATGGTTTTATTTTCAAGAAACCTATCACCTAAAGCAGAATTTAGCTATACATTTTATCTCAAACTGATAAGCTCCTTAAAATTATTTCAGTCATACCCTCTTACATTCTGTCCATAATACTTGTCTATTTTGGTTTAAAATTTGGGTTCTTCTAAGGAGATTGTAAACGTATATAGGTGCCATCATATGTTTATCTTTTAATGTGTTGGAAGTGTTTTGCAATGGAAGTTGAAATTTTGTTCTAGTTTCAGCCTCATGCTTGCATGTTATATTAAGCCTCCTAATTCATTTTTCACACCTGTAAAATGGGGATGGCAGCTGATTGTCTGTAGCAACTGGTGGGCATTTGAACATGTTAGTTCCCTTCTCCTCCAGCTTTTATGACATGCTTAAATTCTTTTCTGTGCAGTTTTGACATTAATTTATATGCTAGAAATGAACTACAAGGAACATTTTGTTGTTGAATGTTCTTTAATTGAACATTTGAGCTTTAATTGGGTTAAAAATCAGTTCTTTAGAGTTTGGGCTTCAGAATAAGCCCTTTCATTTATTTCCTCTTTGCACAGATGTGTTGTTTTTTTGCATGCCTGCATTTCCCTGGGAATGAGAGGGACGAAGCATGGACTCTGCACCCCCTGAGCTATCTCCCATGGTTTCAGGAGGTAGCTGAGGTCTTAAAATCCTAAATCAGAAGTGTGATTTTCATCACCTTGTGTCTTGTTAACATACTGCCTTGGAGAGTCCACTTCAAAAAGTGTAAGTGACAATCTTCACTTTCTGGACTAAGTAATGCTTTGATGTGTGCTACTGCAGGATTTCTATTCTGTCTGTTAGCGCAAGAGAGATGGACCATAGGACACGTACGTGACAGTCCCATTAGGTCAAATTCAGATATCACATACTTTAAGATCATGCTCATAATAACAGGGTAGGACTCTTCCCATTAATAGGTGAAGATGCAAAAATCATTTCAATTCAAATATGGACTTCCATTTGCAAGAGTTCTTCTATTTAAAGACTTTTTCTCTTACTTCCAGGGTGGATGTGCTGGCTCTGGCTGTGGGAAATGTGACTGCCACGGAGTGAAGGGACAAAAGGTAAGTAGCCAAAACTTAAACAATTCCTTTTGAATTGCCATCAGGGTGGAATTTATTAAAAACTACATTTAAACCAATCAAATAATCAGCATTTCATGTCAAAGCCTTATTACTATTTTAATAATTTCCCCAGAGCAATACAAATGAAACAAAACCAGGCTTAACATTAGTGCTCAGGAATCTTAACAGCTATTCCCCAAAGATTGTAATCGTTAGTGGCCGTTACTGTAGGACAAGAGATTTGGTTTGTTTTCCTCTTTTGACTCCAGAAGGAGCAAGTGTACTGGAAGGAAATCTACTGAGTCAACAGTATTCTTTAGAATCAGTGTATAAGAACTAAACTTAGCCTTTTTCTGAAAAAAGAAGAAATTAAATTTCTTTTGAACTTGTGAGCTTTCTATTCAAATTAGTATTTTATCAATTTTTAATGGATAACATACTTGCCTAGATTTACTTATAAAGACAATAACTATTTATTGTTTCCCAAATGTAAAATTAAAATATTTTTTTCTGAGCAAGCACTCCTCCTCCCTCTCATTTAAGAATCATGGATCATTTTCTTTGGAAAGCAAGTCATATTTGTGCATTTAAGATGCGAGAGAAGGTGCCTATCTGGTTTTCACCCAGGGACAGTGCAGCATCCTGAAACTGTCTGCGAGTCACCGTGGAAACCAGGCCTGGCAGTGAGAAAACATGGCCAATAGACCAGTCTGCCTCTCACATGGGAGCTTGTAGCCAGATGGGGTCGTGTGGAAGGGACTGAGCCCCTCTGGACCACTGCCTGCTTTCAAGGAGCTGAAGGCGTCAGCTGGGCCAGCATGAGAATTTCTCTCTCACTCATGGCCTACTGGAGGTTTATGGGGTCCCAGACTCACACTTTTGAAATTCAGCGAATTCCTTTTTATGGTAAATGGTGTCATTTCTTTTTGACTACTTGCTGAAATACCAACATTATTCTTTTAATAAATATGCTGACAGTTGATGACACTGATATTACCTGGATAGTTTTTGAATAAATGAAGGATGTGAAAACATTTTTATGTCTTTCACAATCCACTTTATCAACTATAATTCATCTTCATGGGCTATTCATCCCCTTCCTTGGGGAGTTTCTCTAGCTGGGTCCACTGTGCATTCTCAAGAGTTACTTTAAAGTAGAGGCAAGTATGTTCATACACATACTTGCCTTTTTTTTTTTTTTAATAGTCTAACTTGAATTAAACATAAACACACCGAACTAACAAAATCCTTAAAACTATGAAAAGCAGAACTTCCAGATGTCAACAAATAGGGAATGAAGGCCTGTATCAACACTACTAAGTTGTTCTTGTAACTTAAGGCATCAGGGTTTGGAGAGGGACAGGCAGAGCTAGCATTTCTTACTTTTAAAAAGAACAGAGTCCATTCCACAGACTTTGTTGATTTCCACTCCCACCCAGCAGCTGCACACCCTAGTGGCATGGCTCTGGTGTTTTCCAGGCTCCCTATTCTGTCCATATGTTGTTTAGCTGGATTTATTTTAATTTTTACCGAAAATCCACCTGTTAATATATACAAAGGCGATTTGACCACGTATAACTTTCCATATATTTTCAGCTGACTTTTTCATGACTTGATGACAGCTAGTTGGGGTCTTGGCCCACTTCAATCCAGAGTTGTTCCAACATTTTTAGAGAAGGCAAGGCCGCATCTGAATCACAGACAGCACCTAGCAAGGAAAGGGTCTTTAAACATTTCCTTTCAAAATTGAGCCTTGATGAAACCCTTCTCATGGCCTATACATTCATCTTGCCCAGGTCCGTGTTTATCATGACAAGGAAACATCCAAACATTCTACTTTGGCTTGGAAAGGCCAAGGGCAGGAGAGTGTTAAGGGAGAAGATGTACCCTTAGATTGTGAAGATATACCCTAAGATTGTGATACTTTCTTGTGATGAGGGCTCAGGTCAGCCTGCTACTGCAGCCAACCTTGACATTGGAAAACCCCAGAGCTCCTGTTGGGACTAGGGTACAAGGTGTAGACTTCTGTACTTCCCCGAAAGCAAATTGGACATCCAGGATCTAGGACCTCCTTGATCTTTCCTCGCCCTACCTTGTTCCCTTACTAGTTTCCTTCATTGCCCATTTCAATTTTTTATGTTATTAAATAAAGACTATTTAAAATAACTTACTGGGCAGCTTTAAGTTAAACCATTCAAAGACTAATTATTGAATGGATTTAGAAGGCCTTTTGAAATCTAGGGGAATAGCTAAATGATTTAGAATTATATCCTTTTAACAAAAATCAGAGATCTGTCTTTTGTCCTCTTGAGCATAAAGATTTCAGGCCCTGTGGGTCCCATAGCATGAACAAGGAAGTGGTCTTTCCTCCCACACAAAGAGGAAATTTTAAACTTCCACTTATTGTCTTGGAAGTGATGTTAAAATAATTAGTATGATGTGGCACACCTAGAGCTTGACTGAGCTGGGATTTCAGATCTGGTTCCATTTCTCTCTTCCCAAGGTCAGACAACAAAGAAATTTGTTCTTGGCTGGCAGGCCAGTAAGAATTGGTCTTTTGCAACTGCCACTGACTCCCACCCATTCTCAAAGCAAGTCCTAGAAATGCTGATCGGGTGCAAATGCAAAATGAATAAGGGGGTCCGAATCACAATTTAAATCTAGTAGTTCAAATTGCAGACGTACTTTTGAGCTACTAATGAAATGTCTTCGGTTCTCTTAGGAGTTTTCTGCTATTCTCAAATGTCTACAAATTAAATGAATTTTGACTCGTATTAAAAAAATAAGATAATAGGAGCCACATCACCCAGAGAGAATTCAAGTTACCTAACTGGGACAGAGTGTCACTGCCTTAGAAATTTGGAAATCATTGTTTCTGAGACATGTCTTTTCCACATCTTCTTGAAGAACACTTTGACACATTGGCTGTTTAGAATCCACCAGTGGAAATTGGAATATCTCCAGTATAAATTGCGAAATCTCTTTTGGCTGAGTCCCTCTTTCCATGGAGATGTGATTAATTGACCGAATGACTTATATTCTCCAGATAGCTAAGTAAATGTTAATACAGCAGATCGTTGGTCATTTAATAATTTCATAGTCATCAGTATAAAACTAGGTGTCTTATTGTGAGTTCAACAGTTAAATTCATGAGTCTTTTACTGGATTTGAGCGTCTTTGCTGAGTTGTTTATTTTCCTACTTCCCTGGCTGGCCACTCATCTGTTCAGATGTTTTCTCTTAGGTAATTAGTTTGGGTTTGTACACAATGGCTTTGTGTTCTTCCTGAGGCCTCAGCCGTGTGGGAATGTTATCTACTTAAACTGATTAGGGTTTTGAATGCTTGTCTACTCAGAAATAGCCAAAAGTTAAGCTTCTCTTTTGCTTGATAACCTGATTTTCTCAATTATTTGAGATGATAGGAAAGGCCGCACTTTCCCAGAAGTTACTGCTATATACTTGGGCATTAACCATTTAGATTTTGCTAAAATAGAGTGCATAAGAAGCCTTTCAGATATTTTAACCATGGGAGTCCACGTTTATGTAAGGTTGTCATCATATTCTATGACCCTGCAGTGTCCAAAAAGGGAACTTCAAGTTAAACTGGAGGTAAGACATATGCACATGGAATCAGTAACTAATTAAGAGTGAATTATCAAGTTCTAGGAGACACGATAGAGAAAAAAATGCCATAGTTGTTCTGAGAAGGGAGTGATCCTGTGACCTAGAATCATAAATAAAGGGACAGCTTCTTAGATGAGTAGGATCCAGGCAAATTCTGTGTTCACTAATTCACCAGACTTGCTTGGATATAGAATAGGGTCACCTGTCACACATATGCCTAAAGACACATGCTGAATTTAACTACACTAATCAGAGAAAGCAGCTCTGTGCACAGGTGAGAAATGCTACCATAGAAAAGGTTTGATAGTTCCTAGGATAGTGACTCTCCAAAGGGACATTCCCAACCCATAGTCTTGGAAGCACAGAGAGTCTTAATGAACCAAAATCATAGTAATTCTAACAAATAGTAGGAACAGCGTGGGTATCTCATATCTTCTCAGAATACTTTAACCTACTGATATCCAGGCAGAAGGACATTATTCTGTTATTGCTAATTAGATGGTTTATAATTCACAGCCGCCCCCCACACACCGGGTCTGCACAGCAGTAATATAGTCATCAGACAGCATGGTCCCAGATTGCGTCCAAGGCAGAGAACTTTGAAAATGGAATTCCTGTCTTTTTGCCTAAAATGTGTACCTTATCTGATTTGAAAGGGTTGGAGAAATCTGGCCAATCTGAAAGTAATTCCGTTTCTGACCCTGGAGATCTAGGAAGAAGTTAATGTTGCTTTAGCACTAAGTTTGCGCAGGATGCTCTTCTCTCTTCTTACGGTAAATAATTTATAGCTTTTACCAGCCTTTTAGCTCCTATAGATATTGATACAATCAATAGATATTTGACATCAGACCTATGTATAAACCTGTCTGCGTGTTAATGTTAATGTTCAATTATAGCCTCTGCTCATAAACAGATTTTGGCCAGGAGAGAAAAATCCTGGCTTTGGAGTATTTGAGCAAGAAAGAGAGGGAGCTCATGTATATTGAACTCCTACTTTGGGTCAGGCACAGTGCTGAATGCTTTTTATGCATATTATTATTAAACACATTTTACAGTTGAAGGAAAACCAACTAGTCCAGTGTTTCTCAGCTTTGGCACTGTTTAGCAGCATCCCTGGTCTCTGCCAACCAGATGCCAATAGCATCCTCCCTCTCTCAATTGTAACAACCTAAATATCTCTAGATGTGGCCAATGTCTCCTAGGGGCTGGAGAGAGCAGGGAGCCAAATCAGCCTGGATTAAGAGCTGCTGAACTAGCCTAATCTTCTATAGCGAATAAAAGGCTACTCGAGTAACAGGATTCAAGCACTGTCATAGCACTGATCAGTTTCCATTTTTCAAGATAAGAAGACCCTGATCTGAGAGAACCCAACACTAT